TAAACGCAAAATTGCTCACTGGAATGGACCTATCTGAAAGCCATTTTACAAGATGAGCACTGTATTTTCAAAGAGACTGATTTGGAAGCTTTGCAACTTTTTTCTCTCACTGAATCTGAGATGCGCGCACAGATACAGAGCTGGTTTGCATGAAGCAAGCTCGCCCAAGGCAACGCAGCCAGGGTTGATTTGGAAATGAAAGCCACTTCCTGCGCAGCGCAGTTCAGCTTTTTTGCCTTTTATGATGTATACTCGACTCAGGTGTTGAATGAGTGAAACAGTCGACCACAGAGACGGTCATGGATTGATGCCACAACTTCATTTGCAGAACTCTTCATTTTGTTCGAAGTTGAAGCGAAAGTTACTCATTTGATGTATTCACATTTCACAGTCATAGTTAGTCATGTTACCATAAAAAAATCTGTCAGCTGACAAAACTGGATGTGCTGTATTTGGTGCCACTGGTTGAAGCCAGGATCTTTGCAAATTTGTCTGCAAAAAAAGGCAGATAATCATGTAGGCTTTAAGGAATTTAGTTGTTGAGAAAATAACCGGGTTTGGTTTGTCCTCGTCTCTGTTCTGCTCTAATATAAACCATCATCTGTACAAGGAACTCAAACCTCACTGGAGTTTCCACGTTGCCACACAATGGCTGGTCAGATGATTTCAATTCGCTTCGTCTTTGATTTCGATTGCATCGCTGTCACTTCTGCTGAACAATTGAGAAACTTCCTGAGGGATGCTTTTTTTTTTGACCATTCAATCACTTATATCATATTTTTGGTATAGCCATTTTTATTTGGACATGGAAACATGATACCATTGAGAACTTTTATTATGATGGCAAAACCATGGCATTCTTTGAAGCAGATACGTGGTGTAACTTATGGTCATTTTTAGTTTTCGAGTTATGCAATTATTCCAACTGTTTGAAGACGGTTAAACTGTTGACATTTATAGCTAGCTTCCTGAATAATTACACAGTTTATTGGCGCAGACCGCCCCCTTGAGTACTCGGGGTTAATTATGTCATTGAGTATGAATTCATGCTAAATATGTATAACGGGACTGCGTTATTGTATTGTGTTGGCTCTAACTTTACATCTCAGTGTGACTGCATTTCCTACTTCTGATGGGATTGCTTGGAAACTACACTTTCTTCAAAAAGGACTTGGTAACACGTTTTTAATACAGTGGGCAATTGTCTTATTTGGCATAGTCTAACTGAAGTAATTAGTATCAGCCCTTCTGTAGGCTGTGTCTTGTAGGGTTTGCATTGATAAGGATATGAGACCTCAGGGTGGTGCAGCCCCCCCCCCCCCCCCCTGTCAATGTCTCTGGTGTTTGATAGAAACAAAGCAAACAAGCCAGGGAGTGAGCAGTTAACTCTGTGCTGTCTTTCAAGCTGCAAACTGGCCCGTCCCGTTTATCCAGATTCTCACCTCGCTCTTTCTCTGCAGTTTTTTCCCCCTCTTTCTTTCAAACCTTTCTTTAAACTCTTTTGAACCTTCCTCTCTTTGCACAGGTCCAATCTCCTCTTTCTTTCACTGTTTTTTTTTTTTTTATCTTCGCCTCTCTCTATTGAAACTGATATTGAGGGGTGATGTGCTAGGCAGAAAACAGCACTATCTCAGCGCGCCAAATGCTCTCAAACATGTCGGTTCATGCACTTGTCCGTGCCTGTCATCCAGCCTTGAAACAGAGCAGTAGCATTCTTTCTCTCTCTCTCTCACACACACACACACACACGCACTGAAGTGCTCATGCTCACACGCGGAGGCAGAGGTAATCACATAGTGTGCACACACAAACAGGTTTAACCCAAAAATGGATGTAGGCTATACCTGCGCTCATTAAACATAAGTTTAGCCTTAATTAAACGGGTTCCTGTCATGCAGAAATGACATGCGACCTGTAGCAGTTAATTGTGGCACCTTTCTTAGATTTTTTTTTTTTTTTTTTTACTTCTCAACAGTCTAAGTTCAAATATATTGACTTATCTAGTTGTGTTTGCAAAGAAAACCTCACTATTACTGATGCTTATGCGTTAGATTGTGGAATAACCTCAGCACTGTCTGCTACAGAAATGAGTGGGAGTGACAGCGATTTAAGTCACATTACTTAAGGCAAAGTCATATGACTACTTTGATGCATATCTAGGAAATTACCCTACTGTTCAGAGATTTGGGGTTAGTCAGGGTTTTTCTTTTTTTTTTTTTTTTAATTTCTCATGCTTGGTAACAAGGCTGCGTTTATTTGATAAAAAAGCAGGAATGTTGTAAAATATTATTACAATTTAACATAACTTTTCTATTGTACTATATTTTAAAATGTAATTTATTCCTGTGATCAAAGCTGAATTTTCAGCATCATTACTCCAGTCTTCAGTGTCACATGATCCTTCAGAAATCACTCTAATATGAGGATTTGATGCTCAAGAAACATTTCAGAATTATCGATAAAAAAAAAATTCATTTCTTCTTATTATTTTTCAATGTTAAAAACAGTTGTGCTGCTTCATTTTTGTGGAACATTATTTTTCAGGATTTTTTGATGAATAGAAAGTTCAAAACAGCATTTATTTAAAATATAAATGTTTTTTTTTTTTTATAAAAATTACTTGTCACTTTTAATAAATGCAATGTTTTTTTTTTAATCATACAGCCACCAAACTTTTGAACTGTAATGTGTCGGGTAAATGTGTATGCACGTTAATGCACATTTTCTATTATTTTATTTATGTTTAGCGTTTCCATCCAAGATCTATCCTAAAAGTCTCATCTTCTAAACCACAATATGGAAGGACTTGCTACAAAGCTTATTGTTTTTGTTCCGTATTAATGGTTTCTCATATACTTTTTTATATATTAAAAAAAAATGACAGTAAAACTGATCTGGCCTGCTCATTTCCTCTCCTTTTGTTTCCTCACTTTCTTTGCCTATTGTGTGATTCACACCAAAGCCAATAACAGTTGCTGAATACAGTCAGTATCCTGTCATCATCATCAGAGCAATGTAACATGGGAGAAGACACCGAGGCTGGGTGTGTTTCACAGGGGCAGAGCAAAAAAAAATCATCTACACACACACACACACACTGGCGTGGCTAAAGACCACAGCGATCTAAAATGTCTCCTCCACCCAGGCCATTATACCTGCCTCTCTGCCTCTCAATTAGGCAGTCTTACCAGCCACTAATCTGATAATCTCTGTCCTGTGTCTCTCATCCCATCCTCCATCTCTCTCTCTCTCTCTCTCATCCCTTCCTCCATCTCTCTCTCATCTCTCCTCTGACGACTCCTCCGCTTGTCTCTCCATCTTGTCTCCATCCCCCACCAACGCCAAAGTTTCCTGTGAACTTTTTATGGTCATCTGTCTTCAGTCTGTTAAGTCTCTCTCTCTCTCTCTCTCTCTCTCTCTCTCTCTCTCTCTCTCTCTCTCTCTCTCTCTCTCTCTCTCTCTCTCTCTCTCTCTCTCTCTCTCTCTCTCTCTCTCTCTCTCTCTCATTTAAAGACACACTCCATCACCCCTTCGTCACGTCTCCTCTCTTTTGAAAAGCTCCTGCACAAAGAGGATAAAGCTACGTAAGTCTCTCCTCCTCTTCATCTGTGTCTCTCCGTATCCCTCCATCCTTCGGGCGGCTAACGGACGTTAAACGGGCCAATCACTGATTAGTGATGCAACAAATGATGCTGAACAACTTCTTACGGTGTTTATTAGTAGCAGACCCGGACAGAATTTGCACATTATTTTTGTGCTGATTGTTGGTGAGAATTTATTTAAACATTGGGTGACTATAAAATACTATTAATAAAATACTTTTATACAATACTAGTTCCAACAAAGTAATTTAGCAGGTTAGGATAACTTTTTATTTTATTTTATTTTTTTTGAAAAAAGTTAAAAATATTCTAGTGTACACTAAGATTTTCTGCAATATTACAGTATACACTAGTGATCAAATGTTAGGTAAGATTATTTTTTAATTGTTTTGAAAGTTGCAATTATTCCAATTTAAAATAATCATTTTAAATGTTCAGTGTATTTTAAGATGTAATTAATTCCTGTGATTAAAGCTGAATTTTCAGCATAATTACTCCAGTCTTCAGAGTCACATGATCCTTCAGAAATCACTCTAATATGATGATTTTCTGCTCAAGAAACAAGTCTGTATATTATCAGTGTCGAAAACAGTTGTGAATAGTTGAACGGCATTTATCTGAAATGGAAATCTTTTGTAACATTATAAATATTTTACTGCCTTTTTGATAAAAATTATGAATCATTGCTATATAAAAGTACTGTTTTTTTTTTTTTAAATGCTGACCCTCAAAACTTTAAACGATATCGCTTAATGAATTTTTATGGAAAAGTGGCTTAAATGCTCCTTGTAACAATTTCCAAAGTCAACCCATCGCAAATCTGATTCTGATTTAAGTTTCACAAACCTTAAGTACACAAAACGTGTTTAATTTTTACAATCACTGCAAGTAATAGTAATAAGTGAGTCAGATGTTGGTTCAGCAACTGCTCTGAATGATTCATTCAGTAAAGGATTAGTCAGAATGATTCAAACCGGTAGTTTCAGAGTTCGTGAGTCATTTGAACAAATCACTAAAAGAATCCATTTATAAGAGTCAATTGTTTGTGAAATGAATGGAAAAAATGTTACTGAAACATTTTAAGCGATTGACAAATGTCTGCTGTGTATTGTTTTAACTGGTGACCTCCTATGCCAAACATTCAAGTGAACAGCAGGTTCTTGATTCTTTGGGGAGAGATTGAGTTAAACTGTACCGTGACTGCAGGTCAAACTCCAGCCACTGATATAGAGATTCATAGCGCTATGATTCAACACAACAAGTTTTGCAATGATTTTATTACTTAATAACAGATTTCAAGGTCAAAAGTCTGTGGCTCATCCCGAAAGAAAGTGTGTTTGTGTGTGTGTGTGTTCATAGGCATGCATATTAAACCCCCTCTTTGTGGTCTCCCTGCAGTGTGAGCAGTGGTTGCTGACACACGAGGTGCACTGCGGTCCCTCTTCAACACCCGAACGCCAGCTGAATAATACAACCTCGTCTGAGGGCGGGTAAATATACCTCACCGTCCCGTCCGGTCCGAGCCGAGTGAGCATCCTCACTGTTTGCACATTCAGCATGGAAAACTGGCCTGCTTATCAAGCCCTGCCCACAAGTTTCACCTGAAACTCCTTTTATTTCATCCTTTCATCCATGTTTATTCATCCTCGCTGTTTTAAAGTCACAGCTACACTCATACTGTATTGTTTGCCACACATCCTTGGCTCGCATACCTTTGCTCTATCATTCATCAAATCTCTTTTGCAGTGTGCATGCGGTCCACAAACAGTGAAGCTAGCCACGTATGCAGCTTAATGGGCTTTGGATCCATTTAGAATTGAGTTAGGTAAACAAAACAGATGTGCGAATCTCCTGTTTGTCAAGTTACAGTTTATTATTTTGCTTCATAAAAGCACAGAAACCCTTAAGCTTGAGCTTGTAATCTGCTTTCAGCTCATGAGACATCACATGCACTTCATATACACACACTAACGTCCTCTGCATGAAGCTGGGATCTATCAGTGCTGCGTTGTCTTGTTTTAAAACTCTTGTGCTGAAAACATGAGATGGTTTTTGGTTCAGGTTGGGTGGTAAGTTACAGACATGACTTTGCATCAAGATGCAGGAAGGAATCTGAAATATGTACGTGTGCTTGTGGCTTTAAAGGAAAAGGTTTTGAAAAGATGTAAAGACAAAATACCAGACAAAGGCCAATCTTTAAACTATAAATGGAAGCTGTCTTCAGGTCAGGCATTGATAAAGCTGTGCAACGTCAAAGATAAAGATAGAAACTACCACTTTAACTACTTTACAATAAGGTCTCATTTTTTAGCATTAGCTAACATGAACTAACAATTATACAGCCTTTATTGTTCTAACTTAATGTTAATTTCAACACAATACAATCTAAATTTATGAATGTAGACTGCTAATTTATTGTATACTGTTGTTGATAATGTTGTTGAAATTTTATTTGTCCATAATACATTAAAGGTGGGGTATGTGATTCTCTTTTTTGTACATTTTTTCAAAATAACTTGAAATCCTATTCCTAACCCACATACAGCCACTGAGTTAGAAGCACTGAAATGAAAATTAAGCAATTTAATCATCTGTGGAACGGGCAGGACTCGAAAAACTCCAGCCAATCATTTCCAAGACCACCAGAATCATTGGACTGTAAGTCCGTCAATCAAACGGTTGTACCACACACCCCTCCCCCCAGTGCGCGTGACCCCCATCGTGCGCATACTCAAAGTTTGTGACGCATGCGCATCTCGTCAGTAAAGCCGATTCCATGATTAGTAGTAAATCGTCATTACAATCTCTCATGATTGCGCGTCCATGTTCTTCGAATGGGTGGAGTCAGAGCCGGCGTTGGAGGAAAGAAGGTAGGACCATTTAAATTGAATATTTTCAAAATCTGCCGGTCGTTTTCCAAATCACATACCCCATATAATATATCAGATCAGGGATCAGATAATTGGTTTAGTTTATTTAAAAAAAAAGTTAAACGTATTCATTTTAGGACTGTCACTTTACGTTCGAATATCGATTGCACAATCGATCGGACCAACCAACACAAGTTTCGAAAATGAAAATAGGGAATCGATTTTAACGGCCTTTTTTTTTTTTTTTTTTTACCAAAAATGTGTTTTAGGTGGACAGATCAATACAGCACACAGAACATGTAGGATGCTGGACAATAATAATGTCTTTTCTGTTAACCAAATGCTTTTTAATATTCGCTATTACAAGTGCGCCGTTATTTGTTGTGTAGTGACGTGTGTGTGTGTGTGTGTGTGTTCAAGTAAGCCAGAAATGCACAGATTCTGCGATACGCTGTATTTAATATATCATGAGGATCACGAGTTGTGTATTTGCGCTAAATCCACGCAGATTTGTCTTACACGAACTTCCCCAGCAAAAGTGAGTAAACACAGAAACACGCCAGATTGGCTCATGATTTGACAGCGTTTCCCGCCAAAGTTCATTTTTACCCGCATTTGGCGAGTTGAGGGTGTTAATTTCAATCCCTGAATGTTATTTTATTTTTTTATTTTAAGTTTATTTGATTAGGGACAAGTATGTTACATAAGCTCATGTTCCATACTACAACATTTTAGCCAAGGCTAATTCTCAATGTTAGTCCCTAGTGAGCCTTTACATAAAATGACACAATACATAGTTAAAATAAACATACTAATACAATATAACACAATATAAACGCAGCGGACAGTCAGTGGTCACATTTCTGACCTCTGATTAAAGAGTCTTTAAGGTTGTTTTTAAAAAAGACCCAGTTTGTCTCTCCTTTTAGTTCAGTGGGTAAACAATTCCAGGCTTTAGTGCCTTGTACAGAAAAAGCTGATTGTCCAAATGAAGTATTACATTTCGGGATCTGACAATTCCCGTTCTGAGCTCCTCTAGGCCTTGTTGCGCTCCTGTTTGTCATTGTGCACAAAACTTCACGGCACGCCAATAAATCATCAGGAATATTGCTGACTTGTGCGCGTCTCAAGCGCCCTCTTTACGCTCGTCCTAATGCCTGTTAGTTGTCCGTGGATTTGCCTATATTTGGTGTTGAAAATGGAAACGTCTTTAGATGGAAAATCGATTTTACAATCGATTCAATAAACACTTATGACTCAAATATCGAACAGGATTTTTTCACCAAAGCGACAGCCCTAATTCATTTATCTAATTAGCTAGAAAGTCACCTTAACCAAGATTGATAAATGATGTAAAAGCATTCATCGTTGTTATTTTATGTTAACTATTGCATTCATGTCGACAAATTGAGCCTTAAAGAGAAAATGTTTATTTTATTTGTTTGCTTTTTGCTGTAAATAGTTCTTCAGTCTATAGTTCAGCCTAAATGAGAGTTGCTAGCTACATGTTCCTCTGCCCGTCCTGCAGTGTTCTCAGGTAGCAGGGTCAAAGGTCAACATTCTCTTCTGTAAAACAGCTGTGCTATCTAGGTGAAAGTATGATGCTCCCAAAAGACACATGTTTTTACACAAAATGCCGCAAAAGTACTGAATTATATACAGTAAGCAGCCTTTGACTGTCGTTCATCTGCTCTCACAATTATATCATTCTCTTTGTTTCACTAATGTAATGTGCTATGAACTTCTCAGGGCTGTTAGATTGTTGCTTATTATTATTATTATTAATAGACTAAACCAAAGAGGTGATGTGCTCAAACTAACCTCTGACTCCAGTGATTCTGAGTCATGGCCTATTGCTCAAGCTATGCTTTCGAGCGCCTGCAGTTCCCCAAGCTCAGACTTGTGGCGCATTTGTTAAAAGTCACTGAACAGGACCGAACCATCCATCACACACCGACAGGGCATGTAACAATGATAACAAAATTCATTAGATGTCGCCAAGATAAAAGTGAATGCTATCAAATTAACAAAAAATACGAATTTTTTACTCAATTGAACTTTTCTATTATGGTGTGTAATATGGTTGTTTCATGGGTTTTTGGTGGGATATTGAGCTGGCGGTGAAACGTGGTAGTGCCTGAGGCGTGTTTGATAGGCGAGGCAAACCTGTTTGAGTGGCTGCAGGTTCAGAGAAAAAGGTGATTACCAAGAACTCACCATAAACAGTCACAGTTTAGCTTGTGGTAAATTTCATGAAAACAACTGAGATTGACAGTGATGGAGAATCATTTTGAGTTTAAAAAAAAAAAAGCCAGTTACCAGACCGGATAGATTTGAAAAAATGGCAGATGAGAGCATAAGCTATTTTGATGCTGTTGTTTGTTGGAAGATCGTTACAGTGTGTTAGTGTGTGTTTGTGCTAGGCCACCCTTTTTTTTTTCTTTTTTTTTTTTTGCTTAGCATATCTGTTTCTGTTCTGCTCTTGGGGCATTGAACTGATTTTATTGAGGAAGTATTTAATAAGAGGTCTGTTTTTCTCACACTACTAGATTTAGACTGTTTTGGCCTCATGTGATTAATTGTGGAGTCATGGTGGTTTAAATTAGGGCTGTCAGTTAAACGCGTTGTTAACGCAAACCAATTTTAACGGCGTTAATTTTATCGCGCGATTAACGGTCTTTTTGGCCTAGCAACTTTTGTAGTTTTTTTCACATGCTTTTGCAACAGGACGCGGCTCTGCGCTAATCGCGAGTTAACTATGACATTAATCGAGATTAAATATTTTAATCGTTTGACAGCACTAGTTTAAATATATTGTCTGGTCATTTTTTTTGGTTAGTCAAGTTCAGTTTACTCTCTGTAACACCCTAAATCCTTCTCTTATTATCTTCCAAACTGCTCACTTTCAAGATGGAGACTTATCACAACCTACTGGCATGAAGCCCACAAGACTTGAGGTCGCATTAACCATACATTATCTGTAGTTTACTGATTTTTAATTTTAATAATCTGAATTGGAAACCTAGTGACAATTGTGGGTACTAAAACATATCTAGAGACCCCTACATTCTGCATTTTTGTTGTGCTTGTCCTTAAAAGTGCATCTATTGTAAACATTGCTGTTTTATTGTATCTGACTTGCAATGTTGGATCTCAATATTTCAACCCCAACAAAAAGCTTAAAGTCACCATTAAATGATAACTGCACTTAGAAAATGACAAGACTTTCTACAATCCAATCAATTCCTGATGGACAACATTAGGTCCAGCTCTACATTTCTTTGCTTGTTTGTGAAGCTGTTTCACTCGGATATACATCACAATAGGGAAGAAAAGACGGTTGCAGTCTCCATGCCGAATTTAACAGGACACATCTCAAATTTGTTGCTTAATTACAGCTTTTAATTGTCTTGGAAACTCACCATTCGTGTGGATCAGGTTACAGGATTTGCCTGATTGCTGTAATTTTCATAGTGGATGGCTAGACAATACACCCTGATAAGGAGAAATTTTTGCTTCAGGACATTTCTTTTTACTTTGGACAGAGTTTATAAAGTCCCATTGTGTTTTGCCTCGAGCGCAAAGCTAGTTCAGTAGGCCATTACGTTAAGATAAGAGGC